AAACACACCCCTAGCAATATGGAAAAAAAATGAAAATAAAAAGTGAGCTACTCCAAAAGAAGTTGAAATTCTCCCATTAGAAAGCATCTAAACAACCTCGAAAGATAAATGCACCCAACCAACCTTCAACTTAACTAAATAAATTAAACTCCAAACACAGAATAGTCTCATACTCCATTCAGCATTATAGATCAAAATCCAATAATCACAATTACATTGAACATGAAAACTACCAAATTCCAAATACACAAATTAATGTACCCAAACACAATCAAGAATCAAAAAAACAAACAAAAAAAAGTACCATAGAAAGTGGGATTATTGAATGAACGATCCAAAGGGAAAGACTTGTCAACTTTATCAGCTGCTGATTGATCTGATATATGAGAAGACGCCCTTTTCTTTATTTTTCTTCTCTTCCTCCTTACACACTTCTTCTTTGAACCTCCAACACAGCCATCTGGCCGTGATACACATCCCCCCATCTCCACCCACCCCCACCCACCACCCTACCCCCCTTTCTTCTTTACACTATAACAGATTATCAAAAAGGGTGTTCAGAATTAGCAAAAGAAAATTCTGGGCATCAAGAAATATAATCTTTTTAATGAAAAAGAAGAAAAAACCCAAAAACTAAAATAAAAATCTGATCTTTATCAGATTAGAGAGAAGAAACCACACTCCTAACTTGTTTACACTAATAGATTATGAAAAAGGGTGTTCAGAATAAGCAAAAAAAATCAATTGTGGGCATCAAGAATTATAGCTGATCATGTAATATTTTTTTTTCAAGAAAATGAATAAGAAATAAAACACAAATAAAGATTTGATCTTTATTAGATTAGAGAGAAGAAATGTGAAAAAGAAGAGAACTTTATGAGCAATATTCTCTCCTTCTTCCTTCTAATTCATCTTCTCTCTTAAAGTAATAAAAAAAATCATTTCCTTTTTTTCTTTTAATTTACCTGATTTTCAGAGCTACAAATGAGCTAAAAAAATAAAAACAAAATTCCAAACTTCTAAGTACTACCCTGGGAACAGAGAAAAGTCAATTTTGTGGTATAAAAACTCTCTCTCTCTCTCTCTCACACACACACACACAGACAGACACAGGTAAATATAGTTCTAGTGACGGCAGTTGGATCGGGTCCGGTAATGGGATCCATTTAAGATGACACGTGGCTGGAGATGAGACACCCGAACGTGCGTGGAATTGTGGTAAAGATTTTTCAGAGTTGCAGTTCGCACGTGGGAAGAGTAGTCAGTTTTTTATTTTTAATTTTCTTTTCGAAAGTAGTCAGAATTTTATGATAATATTTTTTGAGTACTTTTGGAATTTGGTATTTATAGATTTCATGATAGTTTCACGTTTCTGTATGTCAGAATCCAAACATTGTTGGAGTACTTTTTTTGCCGTTTTTCTACAATTTGTAACTTTGTTAAACAACCATGATACTCAATTCTCCTTTTCTTTTTTTACTTTTCTTTTTTTTTTTTTTTAGGGTGTGTTTGGTACGAAGAAAAATATTTTCCATGGAAAATGTTTTAATGGAAAATGAGTGGTTTTATCACTTATTTTCTCTTGTTTGGTTGGTAAGTGGAAATTACATAAAATTGGAACAAGTTTTGGAAGGAAAAGAAAAACTTTAACACTTTATAGGGTCGTTTGGTATGAGGTATAAGAAGGTATAAGGGCGGTATAAAAATTTAATACCACCTTAATATTCTGTTTGGCTAGCAAACCAAGTATAAGTTATCCCGGTGTTAATTTTAACACTGGGATAACTATACCTTATAGAAGGTGGGGTAATTAGCACCGGTATAACTTATACCTTTTTCTTAGAAATTATGCAATTGTCATTCTTAATACAACATACCAAACAATGAATAAACAACAATCCCAACATAACTAATCCCAACATAACTTATCCCAATATAACTTATATCGGCATAACTTATACCGGTATAAATCTTATTCCAACCAAACGACCCCTATGTGTATTACTTGTATCATTGTTCTTTTGATGTTCACACTAAGGAAATGAATAAATACAAGATAAATATATGAAAAATCATATTTAGATCTCATCAAAGTGTAATTTTATTTGTATCCGTTTCACATATTGTTTTTTTCCTATCTAGTGTACATATTAGGAGAGATGGTTCATTGTAATTTTTGGTTAAAATAGGAAATTACATATATTAATTAAAAAAGGAAATTATAGCAGAGTTGTCAAATACAGATCTTCATCACATTGATTAAGCAAAGTAAAAAAAAAACAAAAAAGGAAAGATATTTGCTTTTGATTTGACAAGCGATGGATTGCTTTTACTTTACCTGACGAGTAATAATGTTAGTTTTGAAAATCTCAACTACCAAAAGGTCCAACTATAAAGAAATTACATCATTTATTTGATGGTAAAAGTATACTAAAGTAACATTAATAAAGCACCGTCACAGCCACTCATTTATTGAAATTTCAGGGTTTATGGATAACGGCAGTTACTTCTCTTATTTTTATTTATTTATTACTCTCTCTGTTTCAGCTGGATTTTTAACTTTGAAACATAAAATGAGATTTCTATAGTTATAAAACATATTTTATAAATAAATAAGAAATTTATAGTTAATTTTTTTAACATATAATATTGGGATAAAATTATTACCAAAATCTTAAAAAAAAAAGAAATCACATAGAAGATGATCTTATATACGTATGTATCGTGTTATTATTTATCTCAGGATTATAATCCTAGAACAATCATCATTTAAACCAAACGACCCATTAATTGTGTTTATTCTCGTGTCAAAACTCAAAACAAATAATATCTGTTGTCTTCACCTTTTTGTAGGTGAAGTCCGTGTGAAATGCATGATGTCATGTGGTGTATTTCTTCTGAATTTATGATAACTATTTGGTTTTTAGAATTTTTAAATATAGTTTTTTAATTTTATTTTGCCTAGTAGTTTTAAAGTAGGTAATGTGAAACTTCTCCTTGGCATTATGATTTATGTGGACGCAGACATGTTTGACACTGTTTGTTGAACTTGTCAAAGTTTATATAATATTAGTAGTCGTACCCGCGCGATGCGCGGTCAATATTAAAAAAATATTTGTCACTTTGTTAATTTTTCGATGTTACATATCACAATTATTTGAATCCTATTCTATATAAATAGAATAGATATTGTCTAAATTTTAATAAATAAAATCTCCATTAAATTAAAGAGACTTATATTGTCATCAAATAATTTTTTTGTTATGTATTTTTATTTATTATATTATCCAATATTTAGTATAATTATATTGTTAATAGAAATTATGACACTTGTCATTATAACATTTCTTTGCCTCTCCTATTATATATATATATAGATATAGATTTCTTTGACTTTTCTATATTATATATTATATATTATATATTATATTATATATATAAATAGATTTTTCGTTTTTTTATTTTAAAATAATTTTAAAACTCCAATTTGAAACTATTCCCCAATTTGAATTAGTAATTCTTTATTTTATTTATTTTGTCTTTTTATTTAAAATTATTTTAAAACTCCAACTTGAAACTACTTCCCGATATTGAATGGGTAGTTTTTCTTCACTTTTTTTTATTGGTATATATTATTTTTTGCTTTTATTTTAAAATAATTTAAAAACTCAAACTTGAAACTACTCCCACCCAATTTGAATGGGTAGTTATTTTTTATATATTTATTTTTTCGTTATTTTTTTATCATATTTAATTATACGATATCTATATTTATAATCCAAATAAAGTAATCAATTACTTATATATATATATAATATATATATATATGGTAGCTTTTATTTTATTTTATTATTTTCGTTTTTTATATGTATATTATATATAAATAGATTTTTTATTTTTTATATTTCAAAAATAATTTTAAAATTCAATTTGAAACTACTCCCCAATTTGAATTGGTAATTCATTATTTTTTTTAATTTCGTTTTTTATTTTAAAAATCCAACTTGAAACTACTTCCCAATTTGAATGAGTAGTTTTTCTTCTCTTTTTTTATTTTTTTTATAGGTAAATTTTTTTTTTGCTTTTTATTTTAAAATAATTTAAAAACTCAAACTTGAAACCACTCCCACGAAATTTAAATGGGTAGTTATTTTTATATAATTTATTTCGTTTTTTAATTATATTTAATTATAAGTATTCTATATTTATTAATCCAAATAAAGTAACCAATTAATATATATATATTATTAATATTATATATAATATATATATATATATATATGGTAGTTTTTTTTTATTTATTTACTATTTTCCTTTTTTATATGTATATATAAATAGATTTTTCGTTTTTTTTTTAATTTAAAATAATTTTAAAACTCCAATTTGAAACTACTCCCCAATTTGAATTGGTACTTCATTATTTTTTTTTAATTTTGTTTTATTTTTTAAAATTTTTTAGAACTCCAACTTGAAACTACTTCTCGATTTGAATGCGCAATTTTTCTTCTCTTTTTTCGTTTTTTTTATAGGTTAATTTTTTTTTGGTTTTTTATTTTAAAATAATTTAAAAACTCAAACTTGAAACTACTCCCACCCAATTTGAATGGGTAGTTATTTTTTATATATTTATTTTTTTTGTTTTTTATTATATTTAAGAATAAGATATCTATATTTATTAATTCAAATAAAGTAACCAATTAATATATATAATAGTTTTTTTATTGTATTTTATTATTTTCTTTTTTGATATGTATTTAAATTCAAAAATAAGTAACCAATAACTAATTATAAACTAAATAACTAATTAGTAACCAATTATGCCATGTGGCATTTTTTTAGGCTGCCACTTGGCTTGAGGAGAGGACTTTTTCCTCTCCTTTTAATAATATATAGATTAGTTCCACTTTTTCTAATGAGTTTCCTTATAATTAATATCGATTTGGACTAATAAGAAAATTGATAATTAAATATTAATTGGTTAAAAGACTTCATCAATGAAGTACGGAATAAAAACAAAAATCTTGAATAGAAAGAAGCTTGAAAGAGAGAATCAGAAATGAAATAGCGAGACCATACAATCTCATACTTAAATAAATAATGTTGAAAAATCAAGATTATTGGATTTTTTTGCTGTGCTCTATAAATTATTCGCGAGGACAAGTCCCACTAAAATTTGGAATTATTATAATACAATTAGAGGTCGTTGTTAAATGATTGTGCATCTTGATTAAGTCCAATCAGAAGATAGCAATATGAAATATAAAATTGGAATGCCTAAACTTTTATGTACATCGTCCACGATTTTCATACTTCAAATTGTAAAATAAGTTTGGCTGCATCCAAAAATAATTCTTTATTCAAGATGTGGTCTAATGAAGGGAAAATAAAGCTGGAGATCTTGAATTAGCCACTTGTTGGAGTATATACCAAACGAAACACATTGGTAGACTTCTAGGTGAATATGATTTCTCCACCCTTAAATAGAAGTTTCGGGTTCAAGCACTGAAAATAAAATTAAAAAAATGGTAAAGAGCAATTTCCCTTTTAATAGGTTTTACACCATGCAAATCAAAATTAATCGGGAGTTTCAATATAGACACCGACACCGAATAAAAATAACGACAATAAATCTAGTGAAATTCTACAAGTGGGATCTGAAAAAGGGTAATATATACACATATCTTATCTCTACCTTATGAACAACAACAAACCCAGTTTGATCCCAACATGTGGGGTCTGGGTAGGGTAGTATGTACGCAGACCTTACCCCTACCTAATGCAGGTAGAGAAGTTGTTTTCAATAAACCCTCGGCTCTGGAAGGGCAAGAAGAAGAAGAGGGAAGCAAGGAAGGAAGAAAGATGGAAGAGAAAAAAGGGAGAGATAAAGGATAAGTAGTATCAAATAATAAAAACAGGGAATACAATACCTGAAGCGAACAAAATGGCATATCGTAATAAAATCTAAGAATATGAAGGGACATGTGCGCTACTAAGCCTATCGGTAAACACTATTAACTACCTATTAACTTTATACCTTAATCATCGACCTCCACATCCTCCTATCAAGGGTCATGTCCTCAGTGAG